TCAACTAAAGGGCTAATGATAACTATCATAACGCATGCCATTTGATACAATAATAATTATTATCATTATTTGTGATGTCTGTGAAATCTAAGGGGTATGTTATGTTTAAATGCGCCTTTTAATTATGTCAGTATACCTTGGCATTGCTTGCAGTTGATGCGTTGGGGAGAGGACTGGATGGAAGCCTTGACAAGAAGGAGGAGTGCAAAGTCGCCAGCGTTTTGAAGGGCTTCGACGGCTTCGATGTGAGTCACATCCACGACAGAGACTTTGTTGACTCGAAGTAATCTATCACCAACGCCGATTCGGCCGCAAGTATCCGCGACACCTCCTGGCGTAACCTGGAAGGATAAGAAGTTTGAATTAAATGCTAAAAATGAGTTTGTTTTCTTCTATTCTGCATAAATATCTTACAGCATAGATTAAGTGAACATAATTTGGGTACTGTACACAAAATAGACTAAGGTATTCAAATGTAAACACGTGTTCAGTAATCATTTGGTGAATGAAACAGTAAGTTCAAATGGACGGAAAATATAGGCTTTAAATGCAAATACAATTACTTAACGCCTCTCAAGTACAAAGAGTAAGAGACTTATAAGATCTGGAAAATAATAGAAAGCCGGCAAGCAATTGTCTTGCAATGGTACTTAAACTCTAGAAGTATCTCCAAACTTTAAATTAAATTCATACTTCCCACTACAAACAAACCCCCACCCCCCCCCCCCCCAACTAATTGCTTTTAATTACCTATTCTTATAGCAAATGACCCCTCGGAGAAACAATTGTAACACCTTCATGTTGTTGGTACTGGTAAAATAAGATCGAATGTAACAAAGATTAGTAGATATTATTTAAAAGAGAGTTACCAGAGCTAACTTTGTCGATTAACTCCCTATTGCTCAAAGATAGCCTGAGCTAAAAATATTAAAATGTGCAGTTTAACCACGTTAACGTCCGTTTCATCGCATGACGAGTTGACCAAAAGAGTTACCTCAGAACAAGAACAGAGATCAAGTGAGATAGAGTGTCACAGAGGTAGGTTAGCTGATTGGCTGTTTAGAAGGTATATATATATTGGGCCTTGAGAGGCGACACATTTAGATTATTGAAAAAAATCAATGTGATGGGTTTAGGAAAGCCCTGGTAGGAAGTTCACACATGGAATGGCATCTTGGGTTTGGGTGGGG